ATATTATTGTATTTTAATTCGCTTATAGTTATACACAAGGGTAAATCGCCATAATCAACGCTATATATCAACTAATCATTATCGATTACGCTTGCACATAGATCTATCACAACGTGCAACTGATATCAATATTTAAAAACGGTTTCAGATATCAATATCAAGGTTAAACATCGGTTATGTCACCTTTCGCATATTATAAAGACAACAACTTCCATACCTAACTTTTGTTATAACTATTAATATTGATTTAAAATAGAAATGAAAATAAGTAGAAGTATGAGATAAGGATTCCTCTATTGAAGTTTTTATTAAATGTCTTTGATAAATATGTAAATGTATTTGTTATTTACATATTGGAAATAAATCAAATTTATTTACAGGTTGAAAATGACACAGAAAATTTAGTCAAGCATCAACTAATTGGGGGAACATTAAAGTTGAAAGCCAACATATTATGTCCTCATAAATACTGTCAAAAGGCGGTGAAACCTCAAAAAGAACGAGGAGCATATGAAAAAAGAAATCATAGTTGGCGGTCGGCGGCTTTCGTTGTACTTTTACCATGGAGAGATGAACATTGTTCTCGGTTTGGGTTTCATCCGGATTCACGAATAACACGCGTTTGGAGTACTCCAGGGAGAGTTAGCCGTCTACGGCACGCTCAAGAGGTCCACTCATGACAGGCGGGACAAATGTGGGCAGGAATACGTCTTGGCAGACGAACCCAGCTCGTTTGGATCCAAGGCAGCATGACTGCACAAAAATACCATGAGGAGGTAGTAGAGCGTGTTATTGTCCCACACAGAATCCAAATGGGCCAGGAATTTCTACTCATGCACGATAATGCTCCTTCACAGTCGCCCGACTTCTTCGCCGGAATCCTATCTATCGAGCATGCCTCGGACATGTTACAACGAAAAGCGTTGAGAGATTTCGCGCCAAATCTGACGACGGAACAACAACTTTATGAACACTTGCAAAGAACATGGGACCTCTTTCTGAAGCAAGACATTGACAATTTAATTTTAAGTGTGAACAATCGGTGTCAATGTGTAATTAATGCAAAAGGTTGAACACTCGTTATTAATAATTAGATTTAATTTTTTTTTTCAATTTTAATTAAAATCAATAGTTTTATAAGAAGAAACGAAGTTTTTTTTATATACTTTTTTAATTTTCTACGGCGATTAAAAAATTTACATTTTACATAAAACAAAAATGTGGCTGATGAAATAAACTTAAAAGTATATAACTACTTAAAAACTTTAACTCCTTTTATTTCAGCACTAATATAAGACGGATTTAAAGAAAAAAGCCCATCACTGTGTACATAATAATATTATGCAAATTATCACTTTGTCCATAGATCTTCCATTATAGTGAAATAAAAACTACACACTCACAAATAAACAATTTAAAATCAAAAATGTTGTACAGCCGACTTCAATATAAGCGACTTCAATATAGGTTATTTAAGAATAACTCAATAACCATTGGTCTGACCTTGATCAAATTCATATGGGACCACACGAAAACTATTAGCTTTCATATAAAAAAATACATAATCATGTAATCATCGAAATCGGTTCGCCCAGTACAAAGTTATGAGGTAACACACATTAAAAAAAACAGTCGAATTGAGTACCGTCTCCTTTTTGGAAGTCGGCAGAAAAGAAACACGACTGTACGTAAATAAACATGAACGAAGCTAGAGCCCTGGCGCGACTCTGAAACTAATACCATAGAATAAATAATAGCACAAGAACTAATACCTGATTCGTGGTGCGGCGATCTCGGATAGGTCAAATGACGTCACTGGCGAATCAGAAACCACAGACGATCGGTACTAAAATACGTAAACTTCAATAATCTATTCCTAAGTAATTTATTGATGGATTTCAACAATTTTTTTTGATTGATAAGTTTTGATCTATATTTTAATATAATATTAACTACGTCATGAAACTTCTCCATTGAGCGTAGTGCTTAGGTCCTCCAGCGATTCTGCCATAAGCACTGTATCGTCGGCAAATCGAAGGTGAGTGATGTAGTCGCCATTGATGTTATACTATACACCCCACATTTGAACATACAAAACTAATCCACACTTCTAAAATCTACGTTAAAACTATTGACTATCACAGTTGCAGGCCATGAAATGCTGTTAAAAGTATATATTTTACCCTGTATCAAAAATATTGTTAAAACTTATTTATAATCATCCCTTTACCACAAAATATGCTTAACATAACTACATAACATACCATATATTATGCCGTACATGCCTTACTTACGTACCTCTAAAGACGTTACAAAATGGATAGTACACTATCGACATTGAAAGAAATAGACAAAAATAGCTACTTCAATAAACTGTGATATTGAAAATTTAAGTAAACATATACATATCAATTAAAAAAACATAACTATTATTACGCAGAATGAAAGTGTACATAAATATATTAATGACTTACAGGTAACACTATGAAACCTTAAACATGAAATTGACATAATAATATCTACGGAATGTAGACTCAAGAATAATAAAACATAACAAACATACATTAAAAATATAGTAATAACTGGTGATATGAACTTTTATCTTATCCAGAAACATAATAAAATTTCCGTTGATTAAAAAGAATAGACGTAGTTATCTAAATATGCTACCCACGATTGGACTAATAGTGGGGCGTATGATGCCAACCAGAGATAATAACTATTTAGACCATTTCTTGTTAAAACTAACCAAGAAAATTACTATTGCCAACTTAGCTGTTTGGAACACAACGGTAGCAGATCATTTTATAGTATTGTGTAGTTTGGCTAAAATAAAAGTCACTCAAGAGGTTATCAAAAAGAAAATTTACATAGACGTTGACAAGGCTCTTATTACTCTCTCAAATAAAAACCTATCTTCTTTACCGCATTGTGATGACCCAAACAGCTTACTTGAGAGAATAAATACTGAAATCACTGAATGCTTACAAGAAAATACATTTATTATGACCTTGCCTAAAAATAAAGGAACAATAAATCTTTGGATAACTCAAGTAGTCTTATGCTGTATACGTAATAGGAATAAAATGCAAAAACAACTAAAATGTAATCCCGTCGATGAAACACTTAAAATAACATATAAAAGATGTTACAACGTCTGTAGTAATTTAATTAAGAAACTGAAACGTGTATATGATATGAAAGTATTAATAGTTAAAAACCCTAAAGTGCTATGGAACAATATTAAAAATTTTACAAATTTAAAACATACTAAAACAACAAATAATGAGTTACTATATTGAGCCGTGTCCTGTCAAGGTAGTCAACTTAGTAAACAACTTCTTTGCTAACGTTGGTCCAAATATTGCTAAATAAATTGAAACTAATAACCAATTATTACAACATATCAAACCAATTCCTAATCATAATTATCAATGTCATCCTTTTTTTGATCACGAAGAGGTAACTTCAATCCTCATGAATTTAAAATCAGATAATGCTCCTGGTTTTGACAATATCCCTACAAAGTTTCTCAAACGCCGTAAAGACTTAATAGTTCCCATAATTTTTATCTGTATATATAAAAATTACGTGTCACGTTGTTTGTCCGCGATGAACACCTAAACTACTGAACTTTTTATCCCGATAAGTGACCCTCAATTTTTTTATTGCTAATCTCAGGAGTTTTTTTATGAAAGCAAATGGTCGTCGGAAAGGGCAGAACAACGTCTGCCTTGTCAGCTAGGATATTATATATATTAATTGATTTTAATTACGATTTTTTATCTGGACTGGACATCACAGCTGCATATATTTACTTAAAAAGATGTCACACAACGGATTAATATATCTATTTAAAAAAACCATATAATCATAATAAATAAAATAATGGTAACGATATTTGAAGAACAACCGACTGTCTCGTTGGTTTAGCGATCGTAAACGCGGTTGCTGACGATAAGGTACTGGGTTCCAATGGTCTGATTTTGGTTCCAATGGAACCAAAATCAGTTGCAGCAATCAAATCAGTTTTTTCTGTCAAATATTCCCAGTAGCAACCCGGAGTCAGAAAGTTGGCAGTGCTTCAACCCCAACCCTCTGTCCAACCGTATCTGTTTACCGTCCCATCGGACTAAGAGAGTGATCCTGTGCTTGCGCATACACTTGGGCACTATAATACTGTCCTGCGCGGATGGTTATTCTCCGTCGAAAAATAAAAAAGGTGTTCATTCTAATTTTTATTATTATTATTTCTAACAATATACACTTCATTGAACATTTAATTTAAATTATGTTTTACACTACCAAAAGTTAAAAGGACACACAGTAATAAAAGTGGTAAAATTAAAAATTTTGTACAGTCGACATCAATATAAATTATTAAGAACAACTCAAAACCTATTGGTCTGCCCTTGGTCAAATTCATATGGGACCACATGAGAAGCACCAGCTTACAAATAAAAAAATAATCATTGAAATCGGTTTACCCCGTAAAAAGTTATGAGGTAACGCACATAAAAAAAACATACAGGCGAATTGAGTACCGTCTCCTTTTTGAAGTCGGCAGATAAAGATTCATCGAAATCAAATACCAGGAGCCCTGTACATATTTCTAAACAATTTCATGCAATAACGTTTAATGCACTTTGACAAACATAGCATGTTTTCGATAGCAACTGCCATTGTGAAAATCATAGAGCATAAATGCCGGATATATTTATTACAAGTAAATATTTGACTTCAACCTTAAAATTCCTTTGAAAATCACAGTGACCTGATAAATAATAAAACAAATATTGACGTTTACAGAAACGACGGTCAACGGAAAGTCAATTATTTGGCAATAAAGTGAATGAGATTTAAAAAAAAAACAAATATAAGAAGTATTAGTATAATTTTAAACACATTCGATTTAAAATAATATTACATTTTATGTTCTTGTAACGGAATAAACATTTACCAGTTTCTTTTTGCTTCATATATGAGTCTTTCAAGTATATTCAAATATCCCTCGGTATGATATTCAAATAAATTCCACCTTCGGCAGCCACAAGGAATCGTCGAGGAACGAACCTCATGGCGGGCAAGGTTCTTTTTGATGCTTCAACTCGAAATTTTGAAAAGAACTTCGCTAAACAAACCAATGCTTGTAATTTAGCAAACCGCATACCTGTATTACAAAAAAAATCAAAATTACTAACATTAAGGTACGATCACACCAATTTTTTTCTGAAATTATTAAAAATTTTTAATATTGAGGGTGACAGACTGCTTAAGTCCATGCTCTCAGAGGATACCAGTGTGAAATAGCAGCTCAATGCTACTGTGTTTTGTATGGGGAATGTAGAGAACCGGAGGCACTTTTATGGTTATTTCTTATTTTTAATCAAGCATCAGCATTTTGATTCTTAATCGAGGATGGATATAGATGTTTGTGGGCCTCATCATCCACTGATCATCCGGTGGTATGTGTGCTCATTTTTCACACTTTTATTATAAATAAATTTTATACAGCTTTTACATTCAAAATAAAATTTGGGGGAAACTCCAACAGTGTCTCAATGCTTTTGCTTGCGGGCAGAAAAACGTATAGCTGGTGCCAAATTGTGCAGTTTGCTTAGCAAGTGATAAATTTGAAATTTTCTACAAACGACTTCAATATGAATATAATTTATTGTACATTTTTAAAAACCATTTTTTTAACAGTGGTAGAGCCACGCGGCAGCTTTTTCTGTCGCACGGGTGGGCCGGCTCGAACCGGGGCGGTACCACGGCCTCACAGAAAACCAGCGTGAAGTAGAGGTTTACCTCTGCGTTTCGCTTGGTGAGTGCAGGTGGCCGAAGGCCCTTTTTACTGGAAATGAGGCATTCCATCTTAGTCCTCACGGGTGACAACACATCTACATTTTGATTTGTAATAGAGGATTGATGTAGATGTCTATGGGCCGCAGCAACCACTTACCATCAAGTGGACTGTGTGCTCGTTTGTCACCCTTATACTATAAAAAAAACCCTCGATCGATTTCGATTAAATTTAAATGGGAGGAAGTATATCCTTTGAAACAAAAAATAATATATATTATTTTTTTATAATAAAAATCTTTGAGTAATCGGTGAAAATACATAAAAAAATGATTCCGACGAATTGATAACCTCCTCCTTTTTTGAAGTCGTTTGAAAAGAAACGTAAATCAAAACTGCATTGTTCATCAACAGTAGCTTAATGGCGAACTTAGTAAGGTTGTGGGTTCTGCCGTTCGACTACTGTCGCAAACCACTCCTAATACAATTATTTTAAGCATACCAGGAGTAGCTAAAGGGAATGTTATATTTTAACTAGCATTGCTAGAATTTATTATAAAATAAAAAAGGAGAAAAAAAGTAAACCTGTATTGAAGACTAGGTGCTGTGCTTGTGCACACATTTTTTTATTATTTTTTATAAAGGGACTTTTTTATGTTCAACATATCAGTCCCCTTGTACCTTAAAACTAAATAACACAAAACATTTTATTTAATTTTTGTACGTGGTAGAGCCATGCTGCAACTATATTAATAGTATAGCTGTAGCACGAATGGGTCGGCTCGACCGTGGAAGGATCACGCTCTCACAGAATACCAGCGTAAAATAGCAGCTTAACACTGGTGTGTTTCGTTTGGTGAGTGTAGAGAACCGAAGACCCTTTTTACTGGAAAAGAGGCATTCCATCTTAGTTCCCACGGCTGACAACGCATCTGCATTTTTCTAAGCGCCACAGCAACCACTTACCATCAGGTGGACTGTGTGCTCGCTTGTCACCCTTATCCTATAAGAAAGAACAATATACTAACTAAATGATACACCATTTGAGCAACACATAACAGTGGTTCAGAAATTATGATTCACCTATGTACACATTTTGATGTTAGTTTTAGCAACCAATAGTTTCCTCTCGTTCGTGCACACACGCACACAGTGTCCGATATATCGCGACTTTACAAGACCAAAATGGATACTTATTTGCCTTAACTTTTTACGACTAGACGGAAACAGAAACGTTTTTATTTAATATTGATTATAAATAATACTTATTGAAGGTCACTGTTTTGTTTAATTTATCATTGGTGCTGGAAAAAAACCTTTTTCCTGGGAAGAAGCAGGTAGTAAACCAGCGGAACTTTTTTGGAAAAAAAATATAACAGCTTACAGACACATATGTTACACAATTAACAACATAAAACCAATTAGAAATATCTTGGTAGCGATCACCTCATTCCCAATGGTTGTTATCAACCATAAACTCCTTTATATTAAAATAACCCCATTTAAACGAAATGTGTTTAATAAATTTCTTGAATTTTGAGGAGATCCAGTTTTGTATATGTTTTTGGAATTTTGTTGTAAAAGCGTATACACCGCTTCGGTGTAGTCAGTGGTAATGAGGTAAGATCTAAAAACTTACCCATGCAACTCCGGGGACCAGTTCCAAATGATAGGTATGCACAGATATGGCGGCCACTTGAATTTTCAGAAGAAAATCTTTCGGGATCAAATTTTTCCGGGTTTGGGAAATACTTTTCATCGTGCTGGATGCCTAAAGGTGATATGAGTACCATTTGACCCTTTCTCACCGTCACATTCATCCCGGGGATCTTGTAATCCCTTTTTGCGTTCCTTTGTAATGGCTCAACTAAGGGATAAAACCTTAGAGTCTCATAGAATACTTTTTCCATATATTTCAAATCGTTTAGAGCTTCAAATGATAGCTTGTCGTCGTATTTTGCGAGTACTCTGTCTACTTCAGCGATCACTTTATTTTGAACGTCGGGATTTTTCGCTAATGCATACAACATGAAAGCCATTGTGCAAGCAGTCGTTTCATACCCAGCTGCATAAAATAAAAAAGCCTGTGCAGCAATTATATCATCTGTTAATTCTAAAGCCATTTCATTTTCCTCCTCGGTTCTCTTTGGACCTTGGATTTTTCGTTCTTCCCTCAATTCCAAAATCAAGTCCATAAAATCTTTTCTATTTGTTGGTTTACCATTTCTCTGATCTATAACGGTTTTAACTAGTTGCTCAAAGAAGTCCTGCACTTCTTCGGGAAAAGGCTCGATATTTAATTTTCTCAAAACTCCGGGATACATCATGTCTAACTCATCAATATATGTCGGTGTGAACATAATCTTATCGATCTTTGTGAAAACGGAATTATGAGTATCACTAATTGTATCGACGTCCAAGCCAAATGCACATGCTGAGATTGTCGCCATTGTGTACTTTTGAATTAAAGAGTGTACTTCATGTTCTTTTTGCTTCTGACAAATGTCATCGACAAACTCGATGAACTTAGTTGCCCGCTGGCTTAGTAAATAAACCATATTCTTAAGTTTTCCGGAGGTGAAAATTGGCGTGAATCGATTCCTTAATACCCGCCATTTATCACTGTCAGAATGGAATAAATTATTTCCCAAGCCTTTCTCGCTGAACGAAACTCCTCGATCAGAAAAGTAGTCGAAATCCTTTATCAGAACATGTTTGATCACATCAAGGTCACGAAGTAGTAAGCATGGAGTTGTCATCCTGAACACTCCGACTACTTTCTCATTGGGATACGCATCATAAATCTCATGGAAAACCACTCCAATATTCTTTCTCCTCAAAGCAGATTCTTGTAAATTACCGAACAGTGGAACCGGTTTTGGTCCGGCTACATTTCTTGATTTCCAATAGTTAAATGTTCTTGTCAAATAATAGTACCAAAAATAACATATTATACTTGCTAACGCGATCAAAATATATATTAGCATTTTAGACGTGAATTCGTTGTGGATTTTGAATCGGAATTAATTAATTTTTACTACACTGCGTTTATATAGCACTGTGATATTTTGATAATAAGCCTGATTTATTTTATCTTATATTTGATTAATATATCGACGCTTGAAAGGCAATAATTACCAAGCGACATGTTGGTAAGTTTACACTAAAGCATTTTACAGTATTTTTGTTTTTGAAAAGATTCGTAAAAACGCCTATTAATCATAATTACTCGATTCCAACGAATTTTAGATGCATATTAAAATATAATAGAATAAAATAGAATAGAATAGAATGATTTTTATTCAATATGGATTATTACATAATACTTATTGAAAGTCATTATTTTATTTACCACTGGTTCGGAAAATACCTCTGTCCTGGGAAGAACCAGCAAGAAACCCAGCGGGACTTTTTTTTAAACATAATTTCACTTAACAATAATTTTGTTTATACAATTTTAAATGAATTTTCATAGAACCAGCATGGTGGCGATCACCTTATTCCCAGGGGTTATTTTCATTCATGTATTCCTTGATATTATAATAACCCTTTTTTACAGTTTTTCTTTAATAAAACTTTTAAACTTGTTTATTGACAAACTTTGAACATGTTCTGGGATTCTGTTGTAAAAGCGTATACATTGCCCCATAAATGAATTACTAATTCTGTGGAGTCTAGTAAGTGGCATTACAAGCTTATGTTTGTTCCTAGTGTTTAAGGTATGAAGATCCTTATTCTTATTAAAGCCATTTATGTACATACATTACATTTTCATAAATATATTGCGATGCCAAAGTTAATATGTATATTTCTTTAAATTTTACTCTAAGGGACTCTTTACAATTTAAATTATAAATATAGCTTTAATATCAGTCGCATTACCCCATAGCAAAATTCCATAAGACATTACGCTATGAAAGTAACTAAAATACACTAACCTAGCTGTCTCAACATCTGTGAGACTTCTAATCTTTCTTACAGCATATGCTGCAGAACTAAGTCTGCTTGCTAATTTAGATATATGGGGGCCCCATTGAAGTTTCGCGTCAATAGTAATACCGAGAAAAACAGTGGTAACTACAAGACTCAACTCCTCCCCATTTAACAGCACATTGGTATTCGAATGTTTTACATTAGGTATTGTAAATAGAAATACACTTTGTCTTATTGCCGTTCAGGAGTATATTGTTGGCGTTAAACCAATGTACTAATTTCGATAGAGCATTATTTACATCGTCATAATTAATTAACTATCGTTGGAGTTTGAAAATTAAAGAGGTATCGTCAGCAAATAATATACTATAATATACTATATCGTGATTGTCCCCTACAAGATAAGGTAAGTCATTAATATAGATTAAGAACAGGAATGAGCCAAGAATCGAGCCCTGAGGAACGCCCATTGATACTACCGATCCGGAGGAACATTTACCATTAATGACGACTTTTTGAGTTCTGTTACTTAAATATGAAGTAATATATAAGTTTAAGCGCCAAATTTTTTACACCGTAATGTAGTTTCCTGATTAATGTATCATGATGAACACAATCGGAAGCCTTGGAAAGGTCACAGAAAATACCTAACGCATCTTGTGAATTCTCCCAGGCATTAAAAATATATTTCATAAGCTCAACACCGGCGTCAGATGTCGAGCGACCCCTTGTAAAACCAAATTGATTTTTATGAAGTAATTTATTTGTATTAAAAAAAAATTGACAATTGTTCCAAAATTAATTTTTCAATAATTTTACTGAGAGTTGGTAGTACAGAAATAGGTCTATAATTAGCGGGGTCCAATGTACTACCAGATTTAAATAAAGGTATTACTTTACTATACTTCATTAAATCAGGAAACACACCAGAATCGATACAAGTATTAAAAATAATAGCAAGATGAGGTGCAATTAAATCTATTATGGACGCAATCACTGTAACGGAAATCCCCCACAAATCTGCGGTTTTCTTTACATCAATGGTTTTGAAGTATTTTACAATATTATGCGGTAATATTTTTCAAATCTAAATTCTTTTAAACAGGTATTAACATTCTGTTTAAATAATGACTCGGCGACAGTTGGAGAAATATTCAATGACTCTGTTGTCAAGATAGGAACATCAGTGAAATATTTCTCAAACAACGCTGCAACTTCTTGATTTGATTTAGTCAATTTATTATTAATTTTTAATTGATAGTTTGAGTTACGAGGTTTCTCTTTACCGGTTTCGCTGTTAATTATACTCCACGTCATTTTAATTTTATTCTTAGCCGTCTTAATTTTGTTAAAAGCTTAATAAACTGTAATTTAAAGATTATCAATTTTCTCCATATTTTATGAAATAGTGCTATAGTGTTAGCAATAATTTCATCTAAATCACAAACAGGTAAAAGGTACTTACCGACATCAAAATGTTATTATAAAACAAGTAAAATTAACAAACGTCATTATATTTTAATTGAGTTTGAAGAAAAATGACGCATCCAGAAGTATTTTTGACACATTGGTAAAATTATCTAAATAGAAATCAAAAAACTTTCTGTCAGGCAATTTTAATCTTGAGTGTCGGATTTTTTGTACAAGTAACAATGAATTAAAGTTTTACTACACACAATCAAGGACGATATATGGTATGGTGAGTAACGATCCAAGAGCGAGTCTCATCCGACACTATTCCGAAGATATCCCGGACGTCAGTCTGAGCGAGATTAGAATGGCTCTCCAGCACCTTAAAAACGGTAAGGCTCCAGGCGAGGATGGAATTACAGCGGAGCTTCTGAAAGCGGGTGGAAGACCGGTACTTGAAGTCCTTCAGAAGCTCTTTAATTCCGTCCTCCATGGTGGCATTACACCGGAGGCGTGGAGCAGAAGTGCGGTGGTCTTGTTCTTCAAGAAAGGTGACAACGCTCTCTTGAAGAACTACAGACCGATTTCCCTTCTGAGCCGCGTCTACGTGCTGTTTTCGAGAGTCATTACGAATCGTCTCGCGCGCAGACTTGACGACTTCCAGCCTCCCGAACAAGCCGGTTTCCGAAAGGGCTTTAGCACCATAGACCACATACATACCCTTCGGCAAGTTGTACAGAAGTCCGAAGAGTACAATTTGCCACTATGTCTGGCGTATGTGGACTATGAGAAAGCCTTTGATTCCGTCGAAATTTGGGCGGTGCTGCAGTCCCTTCAGCGGTGCCAAGTTGACTGTCGGTATATCGAAGTGTTGAAGTGCTTGTACAGTAGGGCTACGATGGCTATCCGAGTACAGAACCAGAGTACGAAACCTATCCAATTGCAGAGAGGTGTAAGACAGGGTGACGTCATATCCCCGAAACTCTTCACCGCTGCATTGGAAGATGTTTTCAAGCTTCTGGACTGGAAAGGGTACGGTATAAACATCAATGGCGAGTACATCACTCACCTTCGATTTGCCGACGATATAGTCCTTATGGCAGAATCGCTGGAGGGCCTAATCACTATGCTCAATGACCTCAATAGTGTTTCCCAACGGATAGGTCTTAAGATGAACATGGACAAAACAAAGATTATGTTTAATGTCCATGTCACACCTATGCCGGTAGTTGTTGGGAGCACTAAGCTCGAAGTTGTTGACGAGTATGTTTACCTGTGACAAATAGTCCGACTAGGTAAGTCCAACTTCGACCGAGAGGTCAATCGACGGATTCAACTCGGCTGGGCAGCGTTCGGGAAGTTACGACACATCTTCTCGTCAGACATACCTCAAAACCTTAAAACGAAATTGTACAACCAGTGCGTGTTGCCAGTGATGACTTACGGAACTGAGACGTGGTCCTTCACTGCTGGCCGTATGAGGAAGCTCAAGGTCGCTCAGCGAGCTATGGAGAGGGCTATGCTCGGAGTTTCTCTGCGTGATAAACTTAGGAATGAGGATATCCGCAGTAGAACCAGAATAACCGACATAGCCCAACGAATTAGTAAGCTGAAGTGGCAGTGGGCCGGCCATATAGCTCGAAGAACCGACAACCGATGGGGAAGAAAGGTTCTCGAGAGGCAGCCTCGTACCGGTAGGCGAAGTGTAGGGCGTCCCCCCACGAGATGGAGTGACGACCTGGTAAGACATGCAGGAAGTCGATGGATGCAGGTGGCTCAGGACCGTGCTTTGTGGCATTCTTTGGGGGAGGCCTATGTTCAGCAGTGGACTTGTGAAGGGCTGTAATGATGATGATGATGATGAATCAAGGACTTTTGGCCAAAAGTTTTCGACGGACATCGTCATCATCATTATCATTACAGTAGTAATCAACGCTTGTAGTAATCTACAATCACCCACTACTAAGTATGGGCCTCCATCTGATGAGGGATGAATTAGAGCATAATCAACCCCGCTTCTCCAGTGCGGGTCGAGGGAGGTTTTAAGCCAGTGACTAACCTTTTGTTAATGATATCTAGATAGACCTGTAACATACGAATATTGCAGACAAATCTGTCGCAATGTCGACAGCTGATCTTATAAAGACTATGGGCTGTTATACTAATACTATTATTAATACAGACAACCCAAGATAGAAAATCTTGGCGCATAAAAACGAAGAGAGCCAACCCCAAATAAAGGGACAAGGCAAGGAAGAAGAAGAAGAAGATACTAATACTATATTTAAAATAAGTAATTTCAAAATCAGTACAGGTAGGTAAAACACAATTTCAACTAATAAGAAAATTGCTGTCAAGTTTTTAAAATATTCTAACATAAAAGCTTTTAGAAAAATTTACTTCGCAAATATCCGCGTTATAAAATAAAATGATGTGTCTTACCTAGTATGAAGAGCACCTCCCGCCCTCCCTCAATTGCGTGCACTATCCCCGTCACCACTAATTCCAGCACCGCTACACTAGGCAAGACACACCACTGACGATAATACGACACGTGTTTCGCCTCTACACGAGGCAACCTCAGGACGAGATTAGTGGTCAATTTAATAAAAACTATCAATTTAACAACACAATTAAGATCAAG